TTAGTAAAACATGAACAAGAAATAAAAGCAATTTAGTAAAACATGAACAAGAAATAGAAGCAATTTAGTAAAACATGAACAAGAAATAGAGATAGAGAGAAGGAAGAGATTTTCTTCTTCAATTGTGTGTATTTTCTTATCTATTACAAAGCCTTTATATAGGCATGAAAAATGAAGAAAATATGTCATGGAATATGTCATTGAACATAGAAAATATGTCATTGAATATGTCATTAACCATTTGAGAGAAAGATCATGGAGGAAGAGTAGACATCCACCATATTTTGATTTTTATCATGACAGTTCAGAATATTTATTCTTTCTCCAATACTCTTCTAAATAGTGTCTAGAAAAGTTTTAAAAAAAAGGATTTGGATAAATACTTACCCGTATCAAGTGTTACACCAAATCAATAGGTGCATGATATGTGTTTGTAAATAGACTTATATTCTTACCTACGAAAATCACTTAACCATGATAAATTGTTATATTTAAATGTAAACAACGGGTGTAGTTGAAGAAATTTGGGGGGGGGGGGGGGTAGTTATTTGGATTAATTTTTCTAAATTAAGTTTTTTACCAAAGATTTAGCTCTAAATTTAAACTAATATGAAACCCCGCACAACGTACTGGCTAATATGTTAGAAAAAATAAAAACAAAATACAATCTGTAATTTTATACTATAGTCTAGTAATATAATAATATTAGAAAAAGCTTCACTCAAAACCAGTGAATTTCCTAAAGAAAATAAATCCACTTTAAATGAGAAGATTTGGAATGTTACAAATAAATATACATTTCTTATTAGTCCGTAGTTTTGAATCTTAAAAATAGAATAAAGAAATAACTACGAGAATTCAAAGATTATGGCATGTGAGAGAAGCACGAAATTTGATTTTTATAGTACATCATCATTACATATAAATGACATGAAAGTATGTATAACTTGTAATTTGGAGTAGTGAAATCAAAATGTCGAACAAACATGTATTTTAAGAGGGTAGTCAGAATTCATTTACTAGTTGACTTCAAAAAGCAAAGACTGACGAGCATTTTGGTATAGAAAAAACATTAACCTATTCTAATTTGGAATATTGTGAGTGATAAGAAGTTTATCGCTTTTGATACGTATATCAAACTAATAAAAACATAATATAAAACATATATATAATATTTTAATACTTTATCATAGATAATTAATGTCTCAATTTTGAGCTATGCTCCTACTAAAAATAAATAAACTGATTTGATGCAAACAAATGATTTTCCTCAACAGCTCTATACTTCAGTGAGAAATTTTCATAAAGCACTATAGTTTAGATCCTAGTAATTATAATTTCCGAATTAGCATCCATAGTTACTTTTTAATTGCTACCAGCTTATATCACTTGTATTCGTTTGTATGTGTCAACTATATTCGCGTGCGTAATTATATTCATTCGCGCGATGAATACAACATATATCAGCTAAAACCAAGGCAAAATACAAGAGTATATACAAAGGATACAACCTATGTCGATTGTATTCATTCGCGCAATAAATACGACACGAAATACAGAAATACAGAAAAATAATTAATCTCTTATTTCATGAATTTACTATGAAGTTCAAATATAGCTACGAATGGTAAATTTTTTTACCTTCCTATACACTATTTGAAAATTTATTACCCTCCGATCCCTACTTCAATTTAATTACGTGGTCATATACAATTATCAATTATATACAAATAAGTTTTAAATGAGTATTTCTTTATATTAAGAATTGAATAAGGAATATCAATTATTTCCTTATCCCTTTATACTTGCCACTCTGTCTCTTGATCTCCTCGTCTCTCTTTTCGTCTCTCTCTGTCTCTGTGTCTGTCTTCGTCTCTCTACTCTCCTTCTCTATTTTTTTTCTTCCAATTTTTCTTCATTTGATGTTCTCTGTTTTTATGCTTTCTTGTTGTATTAGTTTTAATGGAATTTATCAATGGATTTTAATCGTTTTAACTTAGCAATTTCCTTTCATGTTGCACAATTGGTGTTCAAATTGAAATTATCAATCAATAAATTTTAAAGGCGTTTGACTCTCCACTCTTGATAGCTATTAAAAAATTTTGAAGCTTTGAATTCGAATTTGAGTTTTCAAAAACCATTATTTATTTGGATTGGGTGTTGTTGTAAATAATTGAGAATATTGTTTGGAGTTTATATCTCAATTTTGAGGGTGTTTAGTGAAGATTAGACTTGATTTTAGCTGAATTTTAGATTGAAACTCGAAGAAGAAGAAGAAGAAGAAGAAGAAGAAGAAGAAGAAGAAGAAGAAGAAGAAGAAGAAGAAGATATGACATACAATATACTTACGAAATTGTAGTAAAGTTGTAGTATAATTGTATGTAAATTGTATTAGTTGTAGTTATATATATTTTTTATTTGAATGTTGTATGAAAGTTGAACAATAGTTGTATAATATATGAATTATTGTATAAAATTTGTATTTCAGTTATTAATACAATCTTTTTACATAAAGTTAATGATATGTATCAAAATTGTATTAAGAGAGTAAGTTTTGATTAGAATTTTAGAGAGGAAGAAGCACACACCACAGACAGAATATATACAAATCAGATACAAAGTATATACAAAGACATATTGTATAATATTTGTATAAAAATTGTATTTAAGTTGTATGATATTGTAGTTGTATATAACTGGGTAGAAATAATGTATAAAAATTGTAGATAAGTTGTAAATAAGTTGTATAAAATTTATTTTTACTATGTATAAATCAGATACAAAATATACAAAAGACATATTGTGTAAAAAATCTATAAAAATTGTATTTAAGTTGTATGATATGGTAGTTGTATTTAACTGGATAGGAATAATGTATGAAAATTGTAGATAAATTGTATAATATATAGAGTAGTTACTATGTATAAATCAAAAGATCAATTAAAAAGGTAGAGATTATTTGATCACACTCAATGCCGAGGATAACAGCTCTTGCAAAAAACTTGTGCACCAAGTTCAACTGATGTAATGCTTGCACAGGTACTGATCACACTTGAAAAACTGATTTTGTCCATCCTAAAATGCATCCTGCGGAAAAAATCCAATGCTTCAACTGGACAACCAGTTTGACTAGGACCTATTAACATGGAGTTCCAAGACAGTGTCATGTACTTTGAGTTCATTAAAGACATTGGCAGCTTGATCAAGACGTCCACATTTAGCATATGTGTCAAACTGACAACGAGAAGATTTGTTTTTTAAGGATTAAAAAAAAAAAGATGAAATAATTATCAAACAAAAATCCCTAAATATAAGTTCGATATGGAGAGAAGAGGGGAGAGAGGAGAGAAAAAAGGAAAATGGTATAACTAAATTCCTTGATTGAAGACACTAAGAATGGATTGAGAGCCTTTTACGGTAGATTATATATATTTTGTAGCTAAAATGTGTTTAGATTGGGTAAATACAAAAACTTGGACGTTTTTCATAATAAGTTTCAAATAGTGTATAGGAACGAAAAAAATTCTTTTTTAATTTACAATTGGCCCAATTATGAGGCCCATTAGTTTTGGTTTAGCCATCTAAATTATAGCCCATAAACATAGGATGAGAGTAACAGAGTGGCCCGAAAAGCAAAAACGAGTAAAATTGCTAGTAGTAGCTCATTGTGCTTCTGGTGCAGTAAAACAGATCAAGAAAGCGGAGAGCAATGGCGGAAGTGCAGAGAAGGGGAAGACCGTTGCCTCCTCCTCCGGCGAGAGTCCCACCGGGTCCTCCTCCCCTCAGAATGGGCCCTCGGGTCCAACCCGTTGACCGTGAAAAGGTCTCCCTCTCCTTTTCCCTGTAAAACTTTCAAGGTTACGTTGTATTATCTCTAGGTTTTAGAAATAATGCTTCTTCTTTTTTGGTATCCTTAATTATACGTTAAATTTTATTTTAGAGGACCTCTAAATCTAATATTTCTTCTTGTATTAATATGCTAGCATAATCGGCATCTTATTCCTATGTGCTGTTCAATGTTTGAAAAACATCCTCTCTTTTTTTGCATACTATTAGTTACTAAAGAAATCTTTTGCTTTTTTTTTTTTTTTGGTTTCTATCCCAACACCAGACTTGTCCACTCTTGCTTCGCGTTTTCACCAAGGTATGCACTCTGCCAAAGTTCTGTATAATTTTTCTTTATTCGGAATTTCAGTAGTATTAACAAATGTTTAAAGGAATAAGTTTTATTTCTTAGGTTTTGCATTCTGGAAGTAGTCTCTTGTACTCTCCAGTGTTGTCAAAGGCTCATTTAAGGCGCGCTTAAGCCCCGAAGCTCATAAATGCTACTGATGGTGTTTCGCCTCGCTTAAGCTATGTTTCGGTGTAGGGAATGCACTAAGGCGTGGGCACTCATTGCCAGTGAGTTCTATCTTGAATGGAGCAGTACTAAACAACAAATATAACCTGCACATAAGTGTATTAGTTGTTGAGGAAAACATTAAGAATGAATTTGTTACTTTTTCTGAAATTATATATATATATATATATATATATGAAGGTGTTGGTTTATGTTTAGTCAACAATGGCATGCCAATTGAAAGAGTTGGTGGAAAGAG